ATTTTAATATACTCTTTGTCCTTTGTCTCTCCGTCTCTCTCGTGTCTGTGGTCTGTGTTCCGTTATTTTTGTGTCTTTATCTATTGCTTGTAGTTTATCTTTCGTTTTTCTCACTCCCTCCTCCCCCTACACCCTATGACACTCTGTCTATATATACAACGTACAAGCATACAACAGGATCTAAGTTTTATGGCTTAATTTTTTTTCCTTCTCCCTTACTCCTCTTTCCCCCCCCCGCCTTTTCTTTTATTATATATAATTAATGACTCATATAAAAGTTTTTTTTTATTTTGGTTAATAATCTTCCCTCCCCCGCTTCCCGCTATGTGATTATTTTAGGGTTAAAGGTGGCTTGCCTCCCCCCCTTGACTCCGGTTAGTAGAAGGGTTTCTTCTGTTTTCGTGGGATTCACGTATGCACTTGTTATGTGATTGTACCAATTAGACTGCATGGTTTAAAGCACGTATGTTACAATAACATGAATATTCCGCTCCCGATTGAGCGTGTTGTCTAAATTATTCTCGGTCCCAATTGTTCAGCAATACAATTAAAAAACCCGACACCACGATAAACACCAGCGCCTGGCCTTGTGAGACCTTGCTTTCGCTCGCAGGTATTTGTTGCTTAGAGCTGCACAACAGTAAGATGTCCTCGTACACACCATCGTCTTTGTCAAGTGTCCGAGTGTTCTTGTCTACTTTACAGATATTTACAAACTATTCTAGTCGTGGGCAGGAGATGCGCAGCCACGAAGTAGCAGGTCGGCCACGACGTTATGAGCGCTTTTGACCCGGGATGTCGTCGGAACCCGGTGAAATATCCGAATGAAACGAAGCATTCCATTGACGCACAGATGACGATAATTGGCGTTTTATTTGATTTTTATGTGTTTTTTTTTAAAGAAAGGTTACCATCTCAGTGTATTCCGCCCCTGAGTGCTCAGCTTTCTCGCGACTGCTTCGAGCTCTCCATGCTGTGACCTTGTGCTTGTGATAAGCTCGCAGTGTACGCCGTGATCCCTGTCTCCGTGCTGATTATGGGGAGTGTGATAGGTACTGGTTCTGGTTCTGGGAAAACTATGACTCGGATCACCTCCAAACGCTTAGAAAAAAATCTAACATATGAAACGTTTGGCGGGACCCCGCGGACCCCGGTATCCCCATCAGAAACCGGTATCATTTTTAAGTTGATTTGAAATTAGTATGACTGAACTTGAAGTACTTATTCTTTCTGTTGTGTGTGTGACGTGATGGAAGGTTGGTTACTGCGTGGCTTTGCTGAAGTGCTTGTCTTCTTTTTTGTTGCCACTCGCTTCCATCTCGCCTTGTATTCATTTGATCCCAGTCGTTACGAATCTTCTTAACGGTATCTTCTCCTAGCTTTTCACATACACGTATATAAGCGGTCTCTTTCCTGTCGACTCGTTTTGCACGCTTTCGAGGCGGGACGGTTGAACGTGAGCCGCCAGACGCCCGAGACGACATTTTCCGCAGCGACACCCGATCGAAACTGAAGATTGTGTCACAAGTCGCGACTGCCCAAAATAACACAATACCGAGCATATTTTATGCGGGACCCCGGGGTCCCGCCAAACGTTTCATATTAGTACTACAGTGTACAAGTAAACAACAGCTATAAAAGTGCTAACACTGAATCTACCATCAGGAACCGGTAAACTATTCCGATGTTTGTTACTTTTCCGGCCTTCAGCTATCGGTTTTAGCTACTGCGCTCTATCTTATGTGTCCACATTTTCTACAACTTCTGGTTTATGTTGCTCGGAATCTAAGTTAGGTTGCTCGATGAAAAAGCGCAAGCTTTTGTAGGGCCTCCTAACACAGTTCTTCAAACTGTGAATTGGGGGACCGTCCGGACGTTCTGTTGTTTATGAGGTGGTATTTTATTGATTCGGTATCATGCCAAAAAATTCAATATTCACGTCGAAACATGCCAAAGTCGTGACAGCAACACGCGTACAATTTGTATGGCGTTGCTTCAGGGGCACTCGGTGGTGGAGGCGAGCAGGGCTGTAAGAAAAGGGAGGAATTTCCATATTTCGGTGGTTTTCATTGAGGTTTCATGGGAACTGCACAGAGTCTGGTATCGAAAACAAACAGCTTAGAACGGGGGGGGGGGTAATAGTACCTATTTACCGCCGCCTTTTAGCCTGCTTATAATGGTCAGATTGCTTCGAGTTGCTAGTTAGACTCGGCCTCCCCGGTTCATCGCTTAAAAACTAAAATACGAAGTAGTATACCCGAAACAAGTGTTTTTGTCGAAATACGTTAGGTCTGTTTCCCTATTTTTAGGGAAAGGGAATACACAGCTTGTACGCTTATCTCAATATTTCAGTTTAATTAGTTTAAGCTCATACGAAGGCTGTCATTCTCCGGAAAACTCAAGATCCTTCCATATTTCTTACTACATGATCCCACCGGACTAGTTACATCCTTAAACGACTCGCTCTTAATAAGGATTCTTGGTAATGAAGCTTTTAAACAGGAAAAAGTTACATTTTGTAACGTGAAAATGCAGGTGAAGATATTCGAAAGGGATATATCGTCTCATTAAGCGTCGGTGTCTTGGCATTGCATAATAATGAAAATTATACATGTACTACTATTAATAAAAGTACTAATTGTGTCCTTTTCATACTTTAGCTACTGGAGAATCTCTGAGAAAATCTCGAGCTAGCGACGTGGAGCAGGGCTTGCAACACGTTCTGTACAACGTCAGCTCTTCGTGTCAAGCGAGAGCTTGTGTTGCCTTCAACATTGGGCTCCCCAAGGTATCATGAGCTTGGTCGACTATATAATTCAGAAGCGACTGGGCTCCAGTCTGGAGGTAACGGATGTGCACGAAAGGCTCCGGATACTCGGTGAGGACGGGGACACAGAGCCTCAGTTTGGGCAAATGTGTCTGTATCTAAAATGATGTTCGGGTGTACGTTTCGGAGAAAGTTACCGGGGGTGTGGGTCTTGAAAAAGCACTTTGAGCTTAACATTTTCTAATCATTAAGCCCACAATAGATGATGTTGAATATCGAATTTCGTCGCTGATATCATAATTCGTAGCAAAGTATAGCCTGTCTGTAAAAATGAAATAGTGGTATGGACTACAATGTCATTTGTAGAAAAGGGCTCTATTTGGAAGGAGCTTTTAATATGTGCAACTAACGTTGTTAAGTTGCAGGATTTCAAACGAATCTTGGAGCCGGCATCAAGCTGCAGGATTTAAAACTTCTTGGGCCACAGTTCTTCGAGCTGCGAATTGCATAAAGCCAAATCGAAGTTACTGCGTTTTTATCTCTTCGAAGAAACATAAGTTAATTCTGTACAAATATTATCGTGTATTTGCAATACCGACAATATATTATTTTAAAAGAAGAAAGGCTTATTGTGCATTTGAGTGCTTTTGTCCTTTTCACTTAGCCTGATGCTCGATTTTTAATAAATAGAGGTCGTTCAATTAGCTCGAGGTCGATAAAAAGTACAAAATCGATCAAGCTTAACTGGCTGATAAATCGAGCTACGGCAGTCAAATCGACCGCTCGGGGTCGATCAGCCACCAAATCCACATCGATATCCTGTAAATCGAGCCTATTTGCCGTTTTAAAATGGTAATTCAATACAGATAAAACACATCGATGCCTGCCTATTCCCATCTCATTTTAACGCGCGGTTTTATACTCCGACCATGGCTATAAAACGGATGGACATTCTTTCTGCGAAGCACAATGAAATTGCACCATTATTTATTACTGCTTCACACAAAATTGATTTCTTTATATCGCCAGGCAATGGCATGTTTTTACTAAATTGGCGGCTGTCGTTTGAATCGTACTGAAGGAGGGCAAACCAGCTTTGCTTTTAAAAAAGCTCGCAATATTCGGAGTACGTAAAACAAACAATTCACATATGTTTATCCTTGTGTGCATTCCCGTCAAGCCTCTTCGAGATTGAGTACAGCCGCACCGTACCTAGTCTAAACAAGTCCTGGTGGTTGCATGTTAGGTGTACCCCCCGCATGTTCGATGCTAGACCACTGACGGCTAACCCGGGCATTGTGCTCAGTTCTCATTCTTTGCTTGTAAGTCTTCGTCCAGGGGAACTTTCCTTTCCATTCTTTTAGGAGAAATTTAAATAAGCCTTCCTTCCCTCCCAAACGCCGCTCTCGATTTGCTTGAAATCCATCAGTGGAGTCTAGCGAAACGACATTTTGTATCATTACCTTGGAATTCTTTGTCACCGGGAGCGCATTGCTGCTGGCTTGGAGAATGGCTGCGCAAGCAACAGCGAGGACGTAAGTGAGGCGCATGGACTGGTATCCGTCGTATTTCGCTCTTGCAGCCACCGAAGAAATTGCGAAGTGAGGCTTGCGAAGTGAATTTATCTTAGCAATGTCGATGCACTTATCAAAATACTTGCCTGCTGTAGAATAATTAACTGGCTTGGCTGTTTACGGTGCCCGTCAATTCGAATAGTTCCAGTACTCATCACCCGATGTTGTGAATCCATGCAGGCTGAACTTGGGATGTGCTTGTTCTGAATTCTTCCAGGCTGAACTTGGGATGTGCTTGTTCTGAATTCTTTCATGATCACCTAAAATAGTCCCATCGACTAAGCTTTACTGTAGTATTGATCTGTTTAGCAATGCACCGCTGTCTTCGCTGTGTTGCTTCTGCATATCTAGTCATTGAGTCATTCTGTTTCCCAGAATCGTGAAAAGCAAGCTTTGCGGGAAGTCGTGTTTTGGCCTCATTCTTTTACAAGGTGTCCACGCGGTGATGTGTGTTTATCTCGTTGCCCCGACGTGCTGCTCTGGCTCTGGTTTCTTGGGTCCCTTGTAGCCGAGTCAGGCTTGAAGCGCAAAGTGCTCAACGATGAGACCAAGTTGCTCAGAAGTCAATATTATAACGGAGCCATTTTCAGCTGAACAATTGTGGGGAGGTATTACTGTAATGTCAATCACTTTGAAAAAATGATGAAAGGAACGATGAAAATGACCGCGAGATGAACCTCAACACTATCATTTTAGTCTGACATCTTCATCAGAAAACGTCGTACCCCAAAAAAAACGAAACGAGGTGCGCTACCCTACAATGTCAGCTGTGATTGGAAAGAAGAGCTCAAGGCATATCCAGCTGCTCGTGACGGCTCAGCTCGGCGTATCCTGCATAAGCAACTGCTCGAAAAGAATAATGCTTAAGTACTTCAAAACTAAATAAATTACTTAGCAATTCCTTAAAAAAAATACTTTTAGAACATTATTTTTATTGCGCTGACGAGTTTTACAGAGCTCCCAACGTAGTATTAAGCAACTTTATTAAAGAGTGCTAATATTTCTTTTCTCTTCTCTTCAGTCGCGGGCGTGTCTACTCAGGTAGACACGGGCATTGTAGCTCATGCGAATTCAGCCATGTTTGCCGGCGTCTTCGTTGGCGAGCTCACTCTGCAATGACCTCGAGTCTCCGGTGAATTGTCATTTGGTTTTATTGACTTGTTAAGACTAGCACGTCTTATCTTAGCGAGGTAGGGGGGGGGGTAACGGAGCTACACTCAAGTGGCAATGACGAGAGGTTTCACGCTGGTGTGCGAGACACCAATGACTACATTGGCAGACCACTGATCTGCATGCATTTATAGGGCCCATTGGATGACCGAAAGCAATGGAAGCGGTCACGTACGCTCTGCGGACAAACATCGCCAACATATCGGAGCCTTTAAAATTACCTAGTGGGGAAATCGGTATAATCACTCTACAGATTTAGCTCAACCGAGTTGTTCACGACCGGGGGCAAATGACGGCAGAAGGCAGTGCTGCGGGATTCTAAAAGACACTTCCAGGTTGTGACGAAACGTGAGTTTTTAGGGATCACGACTGCTCCTAAGGAGCCTCCTACAGTATGCACGGGACCCCCACAGATATACCGGCGTTACCTTCTTGCTTCGGAAATTCCACACATCTTGTATAACTAGTCTGATCCTCCCCGCTATTTAAAATTTCGAAAAGATAATTGGGATGACATTGGAAATCTACATTTAAAGAGTCCTGGTGTATTCCTCTTAGACATTTGCCCCCGCATGCCTCATGTTGGACCACTGGCGATGAAACCGAGCAATATCCTCCTTTCTCTTTTTTTGCTTGTGGGCCTTCGTCCATGGAAACGCCCCCTTGAACTCCTTTTTAAGAAAGCTTAGGAAGCCGTCCTTTGCCGCCAATCGCCGCATTCCTTCATCTGCACGAAGTCGATTGACAGTTTCCGGCGACTCGCCATCCTTAATCAACGCCTTGGAACCCTTGGTCACAGAAACCGCAGTGCCACTGGTTTGGACGATGGCCGCGCAAACAAAAACCAAGACGTAGGTGAGGCGCATGTTTGATGTTGGTATATGCTTGTAGAAGAAGAACTTGTGGTTGCTGAGTAAATTGCGGAATGAAGCTTACGTTGCCGAGTTCTTTTTTAGCAACTGTACTGAAGTGAAGTAGCAATAGCATTGTCGCGTTTACGGCTACCGGTACCACATAATACTAAACAAACATCCGGTCTGGGATGGGCTCCGAAATTTTTCTGAGTCGAATGTCGCAGCGATCAAACGATAAGCAAGTGCTACATCGTTGCTTTTGCCGGGCTACTGTCCATACTAGAGGTGATTATTAGGTCAATCGCCTGCGAGTCTCATCTCTATGGAACGTGAACCGACGTTGATTGTGTAAATGAGCCGGCAGGTGTTGATACATGATAGATTAGCTACCCGGTTGTCCCATACTCTCAACTTGCATCTTAGCTCTTGCTGTAACTTGCTAAGGTCATTATGTCCAGTACAGCCGAGAGCTGTGGTGTTGGACTCAAGCGCAAAGTGTGCAACGAATGGAGACCTGCGTCTGTACAGCTGTGGCACAAGACGACAAGCTCTTGCTGTCATTGAAGTCACCCCCAAGAGATGAAGAGAGTCGGAGACAAAAATGACAGCGAGATGGAGATCATGTGGGATGCATTTTGAACTACCGGTTTCCCCCTGTCCTAAGCGAACGGCCGTGTGCGCAGCTTGTTGTAGGTTTTGGGTTGCTACACAAAATTAGTAGCTAAAACTTAAGATTTAGGTAAATTCACTGATACTTAAGTTGTTTATTTTAGCCAATAAAAAAGTGGACACGGCGGAATTCGAACCCGCGTCCAGTATTCTCGTGATCAACCCAACTGCCACATCCAGCAGCTAACCGGAATAGTTTGTTGAGCATCCGAGGTGACGGTCCCGGCCTACTTCAACGACTCGCAGCGTCAGGCGACTAAAGATGCTGGAGCTATTGCTGGTTTGAACGTGCTGCGTATCATTAATGAGCCGACGGCTGCTGCGATCGCCTATGGGCTCGACAAGAAAGGAGGCGAGCACAACGTGCTGATCTTCGATCTCGGAGGCGGCACGTTCGACGTCTCACTGCTAACTATTGAAGACGGGATCTTCGAGGTCAAGGCGACGGCGGGCGACACGCACTTGGGCGGTGAGGACTTCGACCACCGTCTGGTCGAGTTCTTCGTGACCGAGTTCAAGCGTAAGCACCGCAAGGATATATGACGTCGAACCAGCGAGCTCTGCGTCGTCTTCGTACGGCGTGCGAACGCGCCAAGCGGACGCTGTCCACTTCGGCGCAGGCGTACATCGAGATCGACTTGCTGTTTGACGGCGTGGACTTCAACTCGACCATCACGCGCGCGCGGTTCGAAGACTTGTGCAGCGATTATTTCCGCAAGACCATGGATCCTGTTGCGCAGGTTTTACGAGACTCTAAACTGTCCAAGAACCAGGTGAACGAGATCGTCCTGGTCGGAGGCTCGACGCGCATCCCGAAGGTGCAGCAGTTGCTGAAGGATTTCTTTAACGGGAAGGAGCTGTTCAAGTCCATCAACCCGGACGAAGCCGTCGCGTACGGCGCCACCGTGCAGGCTGCGATTCTGAGTGGCAACGAGTCGTCTTCGAAGCTGCAGGACCTGTTGCTACTGGACGTCGCGCCGTTGTCGCTGGGCCTGGAGACAGCCGGTGGCGTCATGACTAAGCTCATCTTCGTCAGCAGCCACTTCGAGTGCCTTAAACTTCAGCATTTGCGAGGTGACAGGACAGCCGTCTTTGCGCATTGAATTTATCCACAAGACGATAGCACTCTCAGCCTCACGGGAAAGTATCGCTCCTTGTCCACTACACCGAAGATTCTTGTGATGGCCATGTCCACCTTCGCAAACGGCTTGTATCTGCGCTGCCTGCTTTTTCCACTTCGATATCTGTTTTTGCTTGCGCCTTCTGTCTGAGCTAGAAAAGGGCGGAAAGAAGTGAGCTATTGCTTCATTCACAGTATGCTTAGATTCCAGATATTGTAGTATGGTACGCTTATGAGCATAGTCTACAGCAATACGAGTAAACCTCTTTGGCCTTCTGCCTGTTCCAGATGAGCGTGGCCTCCCCATGGTGTGTTATGTGACAAAGCCAAATGTGTGGCAGGAACAGTCTCATAATTAACTGGTTGTGAGAGTATTTTTAGCTGTGGACATAATTCTTAAATGAAGAAATGTGATTGGCTAAAATAAAAATTCGCTTAAGCTAAAACTTCGCTTAGGACAGGGGGAAGGCGGTAGTCATTTTCGAAATTCAAACTAACTAGTTTTATGCTTTGCATTGGTTTCTTAGCCCTTGAAACCTAACTCCTGGCTAATCAAAAAGGAACCAGATATTAATAGCGTTCTAGCATGGGCTCGCTGCGCTCGGTTGTGTGTCATGCCGCCATCGCGACGTCTGGTGCTCTCACAAGGGCGGTTTAAAGTGTCTTGTAACGTCTACACCCTTCACTATGGCCCAAAATATTTTGTGAAAACTACCGGTTCAATCTGCAAATTTAGCATACTAGGATAAAGCGCTCGATGAGATCTGCCCAAGACCGGTATTTTTCCTTAGAATTGATTAGATTTGTAAAAAAAATCTAAATTTGTGGCGTCACTAAAGTGGAAATGCATAACTACAGAGCTTTTCCCAAAACCAGTACCATATATTTGTACTAGTTCCACTGGAACATCTAGCCAACGGGCCTGAACATCGTGTTCGTGGACACTGATCTGCCTATAATCGCACTGCACAAGTAAACCATGATGGTAATACGTCGTCCCTCTACAGTGTGCTGACGGATGTGGTGGGAAGGTCGTCCTGTACCAGAATGATGTCGCTCCATACACTCGCAACTACGTCGCTGAGAACATAGATATGTGGGTCCAGCTATTTGACTCAAACGACGCGTTTTTGAACTATGTCAAGAGTGACAACTACGGAGACAATTTGAGAGCCTGAAGGTAGTCTTATCTTGCTATGCCATTTCCACTGTGGACTGAAACTACGAAAATAAAGACTTTACTAATCGCACTTTGGTGAACGTGTCGTTAGCAATTTACAGATTCCTGTCAAAATAGAGCTGACAACAGTAGTTTTGTTTAATTTTCAGCAATGTATAGTCAAATGGTCTGACAAATTTAATTTAGTGGAGAGGTGGACGTCTACGCTATCGATGGGATATAAACATTGTAGGTTTCGTTTGCTTTTATTACTTCGGAGTCTAATTAATTAAGAAATTTACTGACATGCGACTTGAATTTCCTGTGGCTTGAGATGTAGAAGGTTCTTCTGCAGGTAATGCTGCCGCAGTGCTCACTTGACGACCGGAAATGATATCACGTAAATTCGGGAGGGATACCGCATGCGGTATCAATTGTGAGTTAGCTAAATCCGAATCATTACTGTGCCTTCTGCACGTCCGTTGGTTATGGCCAGTTGCACTACACGTTTTACACTTGTAGATTTTCCCTATACTGTCCTCACCACGACTCGCAATACGTCGGGTAACACGACGCCCGGCTTGCTTGTAAAATGTTGAAGGAAGTACAATGGTGCTAGTAATGTTGGTGTGGCGAACAGGTAATTCAATCCCTTTCCCGGGAAAGGCATCCGCATTTGTCGCAACCAAATAACTTGGATGAAAAGCATTTATGTTGCGTTCTTGTAGCCCGCAATAATTCAGCACAGCATTGATGTGACGACAAGAAATTTTTAACTGGTCGAAAGTTGGACATGAGCATGACGGGGCGGTAATATCAGCTCGTCGATCTCGGATATTTTGCTTCTCGATGCCGACCCGCATCGAGAAGCAAAATATATTATTGAAGTGCTTCTTCTAACTTGATACTCTCCAATCCGAGCCCGTTCATTATCCCACAGACCCTTGGCATGAGGAGCTAAGCTTCGTTTCTGTTTCATCCAGTTTGATACATCCAAGTCACGCTTACTGGATCTTCTCATTTCCACAACGGCAATCTTATAAAATGCCTCAAAAGGACCTGCATCCCGAATACCATTCTCGATCATGGAGCTGTTTTCACTTTCGACAAAGTTTGCACTTCGCCACCCGAAAAGAGGTAGACTCAGAGACGTCGGGGACACCTTCGGTATAACTTCAATAGAGACTGGTTCTTGACGCGTAGGTAGCTGATCATTGAGAGTAGATACAGGGAAATTTACGGGCGGTATTATATTGAAACCGAACCATTTACCATTTTAGCTCAGATCTTTCAATAGCCGTAAAAAATAGTTTATCGACTATCCTTAATAAACCGCTTTAATTTTTTTTAGCAGAATGTAGTTTTTTCAAAATCCTTAATCCAAAAATCGTCTTACTCCAAAACGTGTCTTACTCCAAGAAGTGTCGTACTCCAAAAAATGTCTTACTCCACATTGCGTCCTACATGTACTCCAAATGGCGTCTTACAAAAAAGAATATGATTCCAAAACGCGTCTTAATCTAAAAATGATCTATACCGACATAAGCCACCAAAGCCAAATACAAAATCAAGAATTATTGGAAGAAATATTGTATAAAGCGATACAAAAACTATTTTTGTTCTCTCAAATGAATTAAAGCCAGCTACGGGAGCGAAAGTCGATATATTCCACATTCTGGACACAAAGGCGTGAACCCATTGTTTCTCAAGTAGTCGTTACTGCAAACTTTATTAAATAAATGGCCGCAAGGGCTAATATAGAGAGGGGGCTGCACATTTTGCCGACATATATGGCAGATACTGCGATTTCGGTAGACGAATTCTCGGCAAATTGGACACGTTGCGTACGTTCTGTCCCGAGATTCCGCAATCTAATGATCCCACCACTCGCCACAAACCCGGTGCTCACAATTCATTCCATTTGTAGGACGAGCGTCAGGATTGTTAAGGTTTGTGTAGCAGACAGGACATTCATCACTTATATCGGTTTTTTCAGTAGCTTCGAGAGTCCCAACCTTCTTAGCTTCTCCATCGTTAGTACGTAAATTTCCATTATTAAGCCTCCGCTGTCTTGATAACGCGCGTTTCGCGCTTTTCGTTTCTCTTTTTGTTTTCTTTTCTTTGTTTCCGGGTCACAATTGTTCTTCCGCACATGTTTTTGGAGGTTTGATCGACTGGAGTATGCGTGTCCGCACACATGACAGCGAAAGTCAGGAGACGCGGAAGCCCCAGCTACATCCATTGTACGTACGAAGATCCAGAATAGTCTAAAAGAAACATTTTATTTGTATTTATAGAATCCTTAACGCTACAAAAATAAAGTGGTCCACATTAATTTTGTTTTGGTACTGGTACTGGTTTTGGGAAAGGTACTGATTCGGGATTTGAGCTCACATATGGTACTGGTTTTGGGAAAAGCTCTTAAAAAAACGTAACAACTTCAAAGTATTTATTCCGATGGTCCAGAAATATATTTCATTGGAGCAATTCGATCTGGAAAATTCCACTGGAACTACAGTATGAAAAGGGTCACCCCTGGTAATTTATTCGTCATTTATTCAGCAGAAAATCGTTGTACGAGTGAAATGTCGGATATAGCTTTTACGCTGACTTGTTTAAATATCAAAAGTGACCAACTTAATTGAAAAGAAATACCCATCGACTTGGCCACACAACTTTTAAACGTCACCCAAAAAGAATAAAGCGAGCTGCAATCCAGAATATTGCTCACCACCATCTTCTATGAGCGGGGATGTCTTGAAAGAAGACTCATGGTACCGTTGGTTGTTCATCGGCAGCAGTGGATGGCTCAAGTTCAACGTGTCAGACCATGAGCAACGAGAACCAACTTCCAGCTCGTCAAGATCAGGAACCTCACCAGTTGCAGACTGATGTTTTATATCGAGCATTTACCACAGAAAGAGCTAAGATATCGGCCAACTGTCTAGTCACTCCAAAAAAGACGGGGCAATAATCTTTTTAAAAGATTTTTTTTATTTAACAGCTCATCTCCCCGCTTCTAACCTTGTAGCCTGTCCGTCCGTCTGTCAATAAGTCCGTTCGGTTCCTTTCTTGCTGCTTTTTCCTGCCTTTTCGCATGGCTACACCCGGCCTGTCTAATATATTTTCGTCCCATCTTACCGACCGCGCCTACCTTTCTGACTCGACCTAACTATGCCTAAATTACAAATATATCCAAAAGCATGACGCAATTAACTCGCGCCCTGATTGGGCAATACCTGCCGACCTGCGACACTGACTGGATCTGTCGCACGATCAGACCGTCTCTCGCCCTCGCGATTGGACGTAAGGTAAACATTTCTGCCGAACACGAAAGGCATCGATTGGTTGCAAACAGCCAGGCGAGCTGCGCAGATACTTGATTATTGAAATTTAGCTACGCAAAACCTGTCGTATGTACTGCAAATCGGGCACAGTAACCACTTTATTTTCTAAGATCTCTGCACCCTTCTAAAATAAAAATATTTATTATTATTAATGTAGACTTCACAGACCAGTATTTTGTAAGAGCTCTGGGATGCTATTTTCCACACACTTTTCAAAGTAAAGACGATATTAATAGTATAAGCTTCACAGGCCGCATTTGTAAGAGCTCGGCGATGCTATTTTCCACAGACTTTCTAAAGTAGAGACGATAGTATTTTTTAATACTAAAGTAGGCTTCACGACCAGCGCTTTTTGTAGGGACTTTGCCAATATATATCTTTTTGCTTCACCTGGCACTCACCACTGCCACCGTGCAATGAAGGCGCGCGGCTGCACGGTCATTGCGGTATCTGCTCCCGTGCACCGTACCCGACGAATGCATGCGCGCACGATAGATAATTGTTTTTGTCAGTTTCTATTGCATGTAAAGTATGTATTTGTTTGGAAATCTGATAATAATATATTAAAGCTAAGCCAAATAGTAATATTTTAAAACATTTTAATATTTTGCCTAATAATAAATACCAGCCTTACAGTACCGTGCTATTGGCTAATATTTGGACGCAAGTAATTGGTTAAAACAAACTATTTTGCTAACATACGCACAGTTTGCAAAATGGTGGGCCCTACGTGCAAGCAATGCGAGGCGAAGATTGACCCGCTTCTGCTGAACCCGCAGCGGTCTACGATGGACCCCGAGCGCGCTGCGTCTGCTGCAGGAAGCTGCAGTACGGCTACGCGTTCCGTACAATCAGCGGACGGGGCAGCGTGCGACACTGTATTGCCTGCAAGAACGGCCCAAAAGCGGTTAAGTTCTAGGAGGAAAATCTCCCACCACCTGATTCGGCCGAAGTGCTCCGCCAGAAAAGCCTGCCAAACGTCGAGAAGGTGATGGGCCCCGACTGGTACCTCAAGAAGAAAAAAAGACACAACCGCCCTCGCAAGCTGACCGCCCGAAACGTCAGGTACATTGAGCAAAAGAAGCAGCAGAAGAGCAAGTAGTTGGTAAATATACCCTTTTAGGCCCCCACTCTCCTTCCTATCTTCGTATTTAGTATACTGGCTGACCGGGCGAGGCTCGGGGTCGCACATATGGTAGTCAGCCTATGGCGCAGTCAGTATTGCTGACACACCTAAACAGCGTAGCGCCTTTCAAATAATATTTAGCACATGATATCTACTGTGCACAGCCGCAAGCTGGCCGTTTCTATCTGCGTACGCGTCACACGTACACTCCCTCACTTGGACAAAGGCAAGCCACGCTATCTGTGTCGTCAATGTTCACAGAGTATATTCCACTAATGTGCGCTCATAAATTTAAACTACAGTTTCGAGTGAGTACTACGTGCGACAAAACCGTTGCTGTCTACATAGATACGAGCACGTGTGCAATAATGCAGACCGTTCAGGTGGATGTTCCAGGTCGATGTGCCTGTATGCAGTTCTGTATTTTAGTGTCCTGTCCATAATGGTCGACATATGAGCTCGGTTGAGTCGCGGATGGCTACAAGGTGTACCCGCCGCGCGCGTATAAAGCACTACTGCTAAGAGACGCGCGGCCAGCTTGCCTATATCGCTGCGGTATGGCCTGTGCCCAGTTAGTGATGCGCTGAGTCATATATGCTATTCCATTAGACGCGTAAGCACAGTAAGCCAGCACCATGACGCAAAAGTACCGAGAAAGCGAAAGTGACCCAATGTGCTTTGGCTACCGCGAGAGCGTGGCGCCGACGAGCTTACGAAATCAGCAATGCACGGACATAGCAAACAACACGCCAAGCTGATAAGTAGTGGCGAGCGTACAGCATCTAACGTACATGAGCTACTATTCGATTCAAATCTAAAGACCACTACGATATGATAATCTGCCTATATCAATATGGATTCGCATGTTCGTCATACATATCAGAGCTTGCTACTCGGAAAGGATCGACGCCGCTCTGTCAGTCAGTAGCTTTGCAAATAAGTCAGTAAGTGCAAGTAAGATCAATGCATGCGGAAGATAGTGGAATACCCTTCGCTAATATCATAAGCAGCTCAGCGGAAGAATTTCAAGGCATCATATCGGTGTTTGTGGCAACCATCGGCAAAACCTACTTGCTCTAAAAGGTACTTCGCGCGATAGGCTGACCAAACCTTGCTCTAATAGACCGTCGCAAAAACAAAAAATGGTGTCGACTGCCTCACAGCGATGACGTGACCGATGGTATTAAGTTTAAGTAGGCATATTTCCTCCAGCTAAACTGAGATCCCTCACCGATCTATGCCAATTTGGATCATCATTGAAGCTGACACGTCTTCTGAACAGCATATATAAACGCTTTAGCCACGCGCGCCTCCGATTCGTGTCATTTTGGGAGCTATGCGCTCAAACGAGATTATGGACAAAACCTTCCCGGGTAAGATGGTGCTCTTCTTGCAGATCACGTTAAACCCTGGTCGTGTCTACCATAACATGTGAGCACTATAGATACTGTGTGCGGTGTTGTTTTGGAACGTAATATACGTAGGCCACAGTATACATGTACTATATGTTGCTTCGCTTTGAGTAGAAATTTTAAGCCCACCGCAGCG